GGACCATGACCTGAGCCGAAGACAGATGCTTAACAACTGAGCCACCCAGGCGCCCTCAGTCAGTCTTGTAATATCAATTCCCTCAACAGTGAGGAGCCTAAGAACACATTCATAGTTCTAAATTGAAGAACATTTTGTTCAGGATGAAAGAGTCCCATGCTAAACTTTATCTTATTCCCTAGTTCAGAATATCCAGGGAACTGCTAAATTAGAAGTAATTTATCTTTTGCAAACAATTTGTTGGGGACTCAGTAAGTTTCTTTTTTAACCCTTGGGATAGGTTCTTGGTATTGTGTTTGGAACTTAGAATTAATGCCATAGAAGGTTAAGTGTAATTGAAATAATATCAATGTACTGTTGGCATTATTTCAGGTATATTATGGCTTACACAGATGCTTGAGTTAACATGGGAACTTAGCCACCATGAACAAGATTGTTTTCATGGGAAAACAAATTGGTTATTGTGTAGAAGGCTCCCATTTGATCCTCCCAGAGAGAATAATTTACTGCTAATGTTTAATCCACAATTACCCCCATTAATTCCCTACTAGCCAGAGAAATTGATGTGTGCTTATATTTGTATATCAATTAAGAACATTTCTGGGTGGTTCATACCAGTGCTTTATCTCATAAACATAGAGGGCCAGGTTTTACCTGTAATGTCATTCAAATGCACCTATTTCCAGCTGTGTTTCTGTATCTCCTTTGCAGACTTTATCTTTCTGAATCTTTTTTTTTTTTTTTAAGATTTTATTTATTTATTTGACAGAGAGAGCGCGCGCGCCAGGGAGCCCAAGCGGAGGGGAACGGCAGAGGGAGAGGGAGAAGCAGGCTCCCTGCTGAGCAGGGAGCCCGATGAGGGATTCGATCCCAGGACCAGGGGATCATGACCTAAGCTGAAAGCAGATGCTTAACCGACTGAGCCACCCAGGCGCCCCTTCCTCTGGCATATGTGTAGGGGCCGTTCAGAGTAGAGTCCAGGCAGACTAAGCAGGATGCAGATGTGGAGTGGCCTTAAAAAGAGAAGGGGGCTGGGCAGATGAGGCCTTATTCTTGGGTCTAAATACATTCTCTCTTTGTAGGGGACAACATGCCAACTGCCAAGCAGCTAGCTGACATTGGCTACAAGACCTTCTCTACCTCCATGATGCTCCTCACTGTGTACGGGGGTTACCTGTGCAGTGCCCGGGCCTACCGTTATTTCCAGCGGCGCAGCTCCCAGCGCCAGGCTGCAGAAGAACAGAAGACCTCAGGAGTCCTGTAGGACTGCAGGTTTTTCTCCTTGAGCAGAGAGGCCTGAGGCGTGCTGTGGAATGATCTCACCTGCAATCATTTCCAAGTCGCGAGAACTAGGTCCTTAATGGTTTTCAAATCGTGCTGAGAAAAAGTGCCCCTGTTTTCTCTGGTACCGCCGGTTTGGGGCGGCTGTGGGATCACAACAGGAATGGGAGGATGAGGCACATCTGTGCACATTAAATATTTTGCCACGTCTGTGTCTTGGTATTTTTGTTTACTCAAGTAGGCTATGGAAGGCAGAGGTGGGGCCTTGACTACCAGTTTCTAGTCACAGACTGGATTTCCATCTTTTGAGCTCTCAGCACCCGTGAAGTGGGGGTATGCAGTTTTAGGAGTAGAAGGGTCAACTCATGATCTCAGACAGAAGACTGTCCCAGCATCTCTACAAATCCCCTGAAAAGACTCAGTAAAGACCACAGCTCTTTGGTCAGTGACCATTCCTAGACCAAGTACTGTGTCCAGGTAAAGGGGTACTCTGGGCCGCTCATGGCCACATGTGTGCCCCTCGGTTAAGGAAGGCAGAGGCCCTTGTTTAACAGCCCTATCAAAACTGCCCAAAGTGGAGGAGGCATAGTTCCCAAAGGGAAGGGTTGTTGGGCAGCCTGTAGTAATGCAGTCCAGCTCCTTAGGCTCAGTGGGTGTAGCGTTAGCATAGGGTTGGTTTCTCCCTGTGCCCCTGCACAGGAAAGCTGCCTGCAGGTCTTTTTGCAAAGTTGTGAAGAGGATTTGAAAGAAAACAGTGCATTCCAGGTAAAACCCAGCTATGAAGAGAGCTATTCCTGCCACTTACTCCACTTTGAGCCTTGAGTCTTGCAAGTAGACTTCATATCGCCCGAGATAACAGTCCTCTTGGGCATTTGTCCTCTCTCCTGCTTTCTGTGCATACTGCTCTGACCTTTGTCCTTCTACTCCTAAACCTTTCACCTGAAAGCCCTCTTCGGTGATTAAAAAAATCCAGCTTTCCTATACCACCAGGCCTTTTACTCCCATCCTCTCTTGGTGTGTTAACCAAGAACTCCACGGCCTCTGCTTTCTCACTTCCTATATCCCGGGAGGATCACCATTCTCCCAGCTCCCCTGTGCACTTTCACAAAGTATAACATCCTTCCACCAACACCACTGTGTTGCAACTCCTGGTTAACAGGGCCTCTATTGTGTCACACCCACTGATGATTTCAGTCCGTCCCTGGCTGTTTCGAAGCTGTACTGAAGTTCTACTTTGGCCACAGGGTGGGACCACTATTCTTGTTTCCTCCTATGCCTTTGACTTTTCCTTTTGATTTCCTTTGGGAATTTCTGCCCACTTTAAACACTGATGTGCTTCAAAGTTTTGTTCTTAGACCATTGCTCTCATTCTGTGTGTTTTTCCTAGATTATTCTAGGTACTCAATGGTTTTAACATGAAAATAGTTAAGTGCTCAGTGTTGATATCCCAACTCTACCATTCTAACCATATTGCAGTAGGCCAATTACTCTTAACTCCTCAGTTTACCTCTGTCTAATGGGGATTAAAAAAATAATAGTTCCTAATTTAAGAGATTAGTTTAAAGATTAAATGAGATAATTCAAATTAAGTATTTCTTTGTCTGGCATATGATAAGCACTCAGTAGATGTCAGCTGTTAATGCCTACTGCTGACCTCCAGCTGTATCTTCCAGATAGACCTTTTGGGTTTCAGCTATACCCAGTTGCTTGACATATCTACTTGAATATCCTATAGTCCTCTCTAACTTGGTATGTTTTTCCCCCTACTTCAGTTAATGATGCTATCATCAAGTCAGAAATAATTGGAGGGGTTTTTTTTAAGATTTTATTTATTTATTTATTTTTAATGATTTTATTTATTTGACAGAGAGCGAGAGCAGGAACACAAGCAGGGGGATTGGGAGAGGGAGAAGCAGGCTTCCCGCCAAGCAGGGAGCCCGATGTGGGACTTGATCCCAGGACCCAGGGATCATGACCTGAGCCGAAGGCAGATGACGTTTAACAACTGAGCCACCCAGGCGCCCCAATAATACGAGTTTTATTAGACTTCCTGTATCCTCCCAACCAAGTAATTGTCTTTTTAATTTTCACCATTTAAACATCTACTTAATCAGTTCAATCCTTATCATTTCTTGCTTATAATTTTGCAGAAGCCTTTTAGAGGTCTTGATTCCAATCTTGACCTCATCAGATTTATCTGCCACATTGTTATCAGAGACCTCTATTTGGAACTAACTTGATTACGGCACTCTCTTGCTTTTGATCTCCTCTGAAGCTCAACCACAGACAACAGGTTAAGAATCTTTGACCCAGGGGCGCCTGGGTGGCTCAGTTGGTTAAGCGACTGCCTTCGGCTCAGGTCATGATCCTGGAGTCCCAGGATCGAGTCCCGCATCGGACTTCCTGCTCGGCAGGGACTCTGCTTCTCCCTCTGACCCTCCTCCCTCTCGTGCTCTCTGTCTCTCATTCTCTCTCTCTCAAATAAATAAATAAAATCTTTAAAAAAAAAAAAAAAAGAATCTTTGACCTGTAGAGTCAAGTCCAGACTCCTTAATATGGCATCTGAGGTCCTTAAAACCTGACCCATTTTATGTCCCTACCTCATCCTTTTTGTTCTGGTAATATCAACTGCCTGTATGCTTGCATGCTGTTTCTTGTTCCATGCCTGTTTGTGCTTTCTCTCTGAATAGAATATCCTAGGTACCTATCCCCCCCACCCCCTTATCTTCTCTTTTCTCTTTTTCCAATAAAGTTTCTTGGACTCTTCACTCTCCCATACTGGGCCACATGTCTGTAGAAGATACCACTTTTCCTTTTAAAAAATCTTTAAAAGTACAAGTAGCTAAGACAGTTTTGAAGAGGAACAAAGAAGATGGGTTGGCCCTACCAGATATCAAAACTTAGAGTAATCCAAATGTAGTGACATTAGTGTAGGAATAGATGAATAGGTCATTGTCGTAGTATAATAAACTCAAACAGATCAGCATGTATGTGAGAAATTGAGTATGATAGAGTATCACAAACCCATGGGGAAAACTGTCCTCTATGTTGTGGAGATGGAGATTTTATATATATATATATCTCCTATATATTTATGATCGTAAAAGTACAAAAAAAAAAATTGAAAGGACACACCAAACTCACAATAGCAGTTATATTGGGGGTGAGGTGAGATGGAGTAGGGCAGAGGTAGAAGGAAGGGGTCTTAAATGACAACTGTTTCTTCTAGTCACAAGACTTCTTTTTTTAAAGATTTTATTTATTTATTTGACAGAAATAGCGAGAGAGGGAACACAAACAGGGGGAGTGGGAGAGGGAGAAGCAGGCTTCCCGCGGAGCAGGGAGCCCGATGCGGGGCTCGATCCCAGGACCCTGGGATCATGACCTGAGCCGAAGGCAGATGTCCAACAACTGAGCCACCCAGGCGCCCCTATTCACAAGACTTCTGACACCAAATGTGTTTTTCCCACACACAACAATTTTCCCACCTCTGCAGACAGCAGCTGAGTATCCCACAATTCAGTTCTGCCCTTAGCTACCTGGAGTTAGCACAGACCCCACAGGTTAAAGGCTTAGTCTCACAAGACTGGCTCCCACTTAAGATGCCAATCACAAGTAGTAGATCCCCAGGTTATCCACACTCTGCCTGTCTTGACTACAAATCAGTTCCCATGATGACCTTAGGTTTGATCATTTGTTATGATGGCTCACAGAGCTGAACTAGGGAAACACTTTATTATTCCTGGTTTATTATAAAGGATACCACTCAGAAACAGCCAAATGGAAGAGATGATTAAGGCAGGGTAAAGGCATACCACCCTTCTTAAAAAAAAAAAAAAAGGACGCCTGAGTGTCTCAGTTGGTTAAGCGACTGCCTTCGGCTCAGGTCATGATCCTGGAGTCCCAGGATCGAGTCCCGCATCAGGCTCCCTGCTGAGCAGAGAGTCTGCTTCTCCCTCTGACCCTCCCCTCTCTCATGAGCGCGCGCTCTCTCTCTCAAATAAATAAAATCTTAAAAAAAAAAAAACAAAAAAAAAACAAAGGCATACCACCCTATCAACACCTTAGTGTGTTCACCATCCCGGAAGCTCTCTGAACCCCATTGTTTAGGGTTTTTATGGAGGTCCCATTACATAAGCATGATTGATTAAATCATTGACCATTGGTAATTAGCTCAGTCTCCAACCTTTATCCCCAGCCTGGAAGTTGGGAGAGTGAGGCTGAAAATTGCAGTCCTCTATGCCTTTGGTCCTGTTGCTGTGGCAATCACCTCCCATCCTGAAACTAGCTAGGGGCCCACAAGTCACCTCATTAACATACAGACATCACTCTGGAGATTACAGAGGTCTTAGAAACTGCCAATAACTGGGAAGAAGACCAAATATGTATGTATGTATTGCTTTCTTTTTTTAAGTAAACTCTGCCCTCAACATGGGGCTTGAACTCAAGCCGGAGATCAAGAGTCACATGCTCTACTGACTGAGCCAGCCAGGTGCCCCTGTGTTTCTTATATCACCATGTCACAGGTCTCTAATTTTGTACTTCTTTTACAAGTAAGATTGGCGATAAGACAAAATGTTAGAGATGTTAATTCTGGGTGTTGGAAATAATGGGAGTATATATTATTCCTTATTTTTCTGCATTTTTTTTGCAATTGCTCAAAGAAAAACTTGGGGGGAACTATTTTTGATGGCTTTCTGTTCACTACAGTTGTTCTTAGCCAAAGTAGTAATCGCCCCCCTCCACCCATGACCACCTGAGGTGAAAGTGTTTTGAGTGTCACAATGATTGGGAAGCATCTCTGGCATTTGGTGGGTGGAGGCCAAGGATGCTAGATTTTTTGCAATGCCTGGGATAGTCTTGGCACAAGTCCCAAGTCCTGCACAACTATCAGATGTCTCCATAGATACTCAAATAAGTGAAAAGACAGTTTATAATTAGCCAAGCCTATAATCTCTCTTTTACATATAAACACAAATGTACTTTTTAAACCTTTTTTTTTTTTAAAGATTTTATTTATTTATTTATTGGAGAGCGAGCAAGAGAGAAACAGCATGAGAGAGGAGAGGGTCAGAGGGAGAAGCAGGCTCCCCACTGAGCCGGGAGCCCGATGCGGGACTCGATCCCAGGCCCCTGGGATCATGACCTGAGCCGAAGGCAGTCGCTTAACCAACTGAGCCACCCAGGCGCCCGCACAAATGTACTTTTTG